GCAACTACTTTCCGGTAGCCCGATGCTTATTAAAATGCTTCTGATTTGTTTTATAAATGAACATTTCAATAAGGAGCTTGTTTTTAAAAGTGCATCAGTGTCAACCCAATTCTGCCTTCCAACTATATTTCTCCTAGTTTCTGTCATTTTGAGGTTAGATTAAAAAGCAAGCCAAATAGTTAAATAAAATACTTCTCATTTCCACCCAGGTAGAAAGGTAGGAAGTGCTGCGAGTCATTCAGTCTCTCTATAACCTGTCGGGTTTTTAAGGATCTGTGCCGACAGTTCATCCCAGTTAAATCCTCTTTGAGCAGACAGCCTTGCACACATTTTGACCTTTCATTTTGTTTAAAAGCCTGTTAAAATTAATAGAAAGCCTATCAGACTCCTAAAATAGTGCCCCCTCTTGTAATTTAATCCACGGAATAGTTCTAGTGTACCTCGGGATACAAGAAGCCCTCAGAGAAATGAGTGATAATTGGATCTAATAACCCCCAAGGAATGATGGTTATTTTTTAAATAGTTGTTTTTGCTAACTGCCCTTGAGCTTGCACCGAAAATTTGCATTGCACAAAATTTACATTGCCCTGGAGCAGCAGCAACTTCACAAATCTTTGTCTAGAAGACTTCTTTTTTTAGTTTTGTTTTTCTCTCTGAGTGCCTCAATGGTTAGACTGATTGCAAGTTTTACATAAAAGTGGACCAGAATGCAAAATCCTGCCTTGCTGCCATTAATGTCTAAAACTCCTTCCAGGGTTGGCAGTATTTTTTGCACCTGGCATGTTTAAGTTGCTGTTTACAATAAGCAAGTCATACCAGAATCTAGAGATCAGGTGGAATTTCAGCTATGATTGCCCAGGGAATCAGTTCTCTTATACCTACTGCCGACCTGTGCATATTCCTTGTGCTACCAGCAGCAATTGGGTAATATACATTTCCACAGCACTAGGCCTTTGTATAGAAGGATATTGCTCAAATGGTGTCAGTCTAATAAAGACTCAGGCAAAAATATCAAACTAATTTAGGTACAGCATGAAAGATAATACTATGCCCTTCAGCTTAAAACTCTGTAGCCAGGTTTGTATTAGGTCCTTAATATATTTTTAGTGGAAAAAAATATATTCTGGACCTTGGTATTTAAGAATTATGCACACCTCAAAAGTTTGTGCGTGTTGGGGGCAACTCCCTTTCATAGGAAAATGTTTGTTTCTTTCCATTCACTTTCAAAACAAGGTTTGTTATCTGCTAAAATTTCAGCGGGCCTTTACGTGTAATTAATTTCTGTCAGAGTAAAGATTTGTGCCATAACTTGAGTTTATTTAGTATTACTTAAGCACTGTTGGTATAGCTGAACAGAGCACAGTCACCCTAGTCATCATAACTCTGAGTCTAACGCAGAGGAGGCAAGACTGATGCACAACAGTTTATATATAGAAGCAGTAACAGACAAATATGCCTGATATCAACGGCGCTAATGCAAGTAATACCTTTAACTCCCATTAGAACAGGCTTGAAAAACACATTCTTGATGAACATCAACTGAAGGTCACATTTCTTTATTTTATCCAAGTTTGAAAATTGCTGCAGTTTTATTGTGTGGCATAATTAGAGCAGGGATCTTTGCGCCAGCTTTTACAAATGAGAAATTTTGTTACCAGCTATCCTATTCCTGAGAAATCTGGACAGATTATATAGGATTGTGCTTAACTTCACCAGATGGTTAGTTACATGGAATTCACTTAGATCCTGAGAAAGGGTTGGTTCATTAAAATGGTTTGTCTGGTTAAATTTAAGCATGGCTTAAATGCCCTATACGGCCAAACTATTATTTGCACCTAGTAGGTTCCAGTCTGTGCAGGAAACTTGCAAAGAGAAGACAGGTCTTAATAGTGTGTGGTACTTACGTACATTTCCATATTTCCCTGAATAGGTGCCAGGGGTCTTAAGTATCCTTATCTGCAGTTGCTAATTGAAGTATCATGCAGACGTAAAGAATTTGTCTTATTCCTACGTTAGCAGCAGTGCATCACATTTGACATAAAAATGAGCACGGTGGGCTTTATATACCAATCACCTATTAAAAATTTGATTCATTCCCATACCTTTGGTCTCAGGAGGACTAGAAATACAATGCAAAGACTTTCAAATATTTTTTAATTCGCATTTCAAATGAAGTCTCTAACACATCATGCTTCGAGCACTAGTACAGAAATCAAAGGAAAAAAGCAGAGGGAAATGGCAATTACTCTTTCATAACAACTGCAAGGGATGTTATCAACACTACAGATATTAAAGCCATTTACTTGCCATCACCAAATAAAAGCTTCATGTAATTAAAACATATGGCTGGTATTAACTGAAAAAGGGACAGGAAATTGAACATTAAAGGTGACTGCCCTTAATTCACTGTATTGTTGGGGGAGGGAGGAGAGTGTGTTAGTGCTTCGAGTGAAAGGGTGACTTTGAATTTCCTACCTTTCATTAGCTACTGTTACAACGTGCATGTTTAAGTGTTAAACAAAAAAAAAAGTGAAGCATTATAAAACCTGATCAGTAACTCTGAAAAAGCTTGACTGTATTTAGATGCTAAATTCTTCAGGGTAAAGCAACAGTTCCCACCACCCTCTGCATTTTTTGCAGTAAAAAGAACAGTTTGGGATTTTAGTGAAATGGCTGTTTAAATATTATGTTTAATGAAGTCAGTGGAAACTTCCATTCTCCCAATTTTAATTCTGAAAGGCTATATCCCAGAAAACTAATTTCTGGAAGCCTTTTCACAATCCTATTTAAACAGAAGTGCTGGATTGTCCTTTTAGAGTGCATACCAGATTAGTTCCTCTGACAGTCTATATAGAGCTACTTTCATGTATACTAAGTGAGGAGCTGACTTTTTGTGGTTTGCTTGTTGAGGTAATGCGATGACTCCCCCTTTTTTGTTCTGCCTTTCTTCATGCTGGTTTTGAACCAGTATTTAATGAGAATAACTACGTCTTTTGACTTTTCTGTCCTTACAAAATAATCACAATTGTAATCACAACTACTTTATTGTCGTTACATTTAGTGTCAGCTGCAAATTGTTTTCGTTGTAGGAACTTCTTGGCAGTTTATGAAGTTGCCATATAAAAAATTCAGAAGGGCAAACTATTATCTAACATTTTTGTAAACCGTGGGCTTCTCAAATGATTAATGACCACATTCATTCTGTAAGTAAATACAGTTTTGCAAACAAATATATCAAAAGGGAACCATTTCTGTAAGCTTTTGCTGGAATGATCACCATTAATAATCAGCGTGGGTAACAGATGTTGTCTGTTCTCATGAATTTATGAAACCTAGCTGTCTTATTATTTTATAAATATGTGTTTCTACCAGTCTTAGATTACGCTTTTATGATTTTACCATTCTGGAAGGTATGCAATATCTTGTCAATCAGTTGAATATCTTTTTAGGCCTAATTTAAGATGACCGTGTAAAGTAAGTGCTCAAACAGTAAGTCTGTGTCTCTGTGGGATTGTGTAAAAAGCCTGAACTTAACTTTCTGGTGATTCCTTTCCTTTTCTTTTGCTGTGCTTATTACTGAATGATGCTAAATCCTAATTTGGTGTTCCAGGCCATGAGATGCTGATGACATCCTGCTTTCGGGCAGATAAAATGAATACTTCTCTCCACCTCTTAAATATATTAACCAAAACAGATGTGTTTTTCAGGCTCCCTTTAACCTGTAAGAGCACAGTATATTCTCCTGATTTTTACCTTTTTGTTTTGTCTTTGATTATGTTCTCTTCTGTGGTCCAGTTACTCAACTGAAAGTTTACATTCCTGGGGAATACTCAACCAGTATCTAAATACGTGTTTGAAATTTAATGGGCAAATTTTCATTTTAGTAGTCAATACAATTTATTTTAAGCTGATCCTGTATTTTCAATACCATGTGCTACCTTTTTTTCAGTTTCAGAATTAACAGCCCATTAAGATGAAAGAGACAAATCACTTCTTGAGTAACCGTGCGAGTAGACGCCTCATCACCCTGTAGTTTGTAGTCAGGCCACATTTTCAGCTTGGAGAGTTTGTCTTGGAAAGACTGGTCTCAGTTAGTATTAGAAGCCCCAGTTTCCTTTAATTCATTTCCATAAGCCCAAAATCTTTGTAATTTATAAAACTGCCTAAACAAAGCTGGGGTTTTTGACTTGAGTGAATGCAGAAAATAGTTCATTTTCCAGTAACATCTAATATTCAGGACTCTGCCAATGAAGGTGGTTCTTGACACACTCTGCATGTGTCATTTCTGGTTTTTTTCCGATCTCTACCCTGGATACACTCAGCATTCTGGTTGTGGATTTATAATAGCAGAGAGACAGAGCAGTTGGAATGTAACAAAGCTTTTTGCTTCAGAATTAACTGTCCTTGGATGTATAAGATTACAGTACAAACAACATGGCTGTCTGTAGTTAATATGTTTTGATTTATCGTCTAAAAGTCTAAAATTAAAGTGAATTTACTGCACCTGAAAGGCACTAGTACAAAAAGCCCAGAGATTCAGGTCATGCGTTACCTCCAGAATTGACACAGTGCAAACAATTGCTCCCAGTTCATCACTTTTACAGAGGTAACACTTCCCTTGGGTGCTAATGAGGTTTTTTTTTCTTCTGTGGTCCTTCATTTCTGTATTGATATCACATGTGAGGATTCACCATTTGAGCATTCTGGCCCAAGATTTCATATAACTAAATGTTGTTGTCCAAATATTGTTTAACACCAACTCACTTTTCACTAAGAAATTATCAATTAATAGTTGGAGACAACTGTGAATCATCAGTTGATGGACAGGGCTCACTCTTGTTGACTGCAAGTCTCTTTTCCATGAACTAGCCTTCCTGCTCCGGTAAGAGTATTTGTTATGTTTGTTATTGGCTCTTGAGCAGTCTTCTGCTAAAGACTGAGATTTATCACTTCTGTTATCTCTCTGTTCTTTCCCTCCTTTCCTCCTTCCCTCCTTACAGAAAAATCCGTAAGAAGTTCACCAGATCACAGCTGAAAAGAGCTTCCAGAACACCTTGTTCTCCGATCATTGCAAAGACAAAGTCGCTCATGAACAATAGGCAGGCACGAACAGAGCCAGGAACCATCATGCACTGAAGATATAACAGCATCAGCACCATAATCATGTCAGAATCATGTTTAATTGTGAATGCAGATACAACAGGACCTTCCGCATCTTCGAGACAGAAACACTCTACGGACAAATTGTGGCTGGGTTCTGTGTTCTGGGCAGGGTCCAACAGCAGCCTTTGTTTTCCCTCATCTCTGCAAGGGCTACTTCTGGTTCGCTGTGCAGGCTTATCCCAGATTGTCCTGCTATTCCCTCCATTCCCAGTCATCAGCGTTGGCTGGTCAGGGAAGGACTGTCTGCACTGACTGCACTGAAGGAGTACGGATGCAGAATCCACCCATCACATTTGTCTATGCCTTCTAGTGGCTTAATGCAAAAATATGCAGCTTTCAAAACTATTGCAGTGTCTTTAAAGCAGGATTTAGCCTTGAGGGGCTTGCATTTTCAAAAACAGCTGCAAGCTTTGGGTGTTCATATTTTTCAGTATTGGCTTGAGTCACTTGGGTTTTGATTTTCTGAACTACTGAGCATCCAGACCCTGAAATGAGGAGAAGGATTTGTTTAGCAGTTCTGAAACTTAGACTGAATTAGGAAGTGCCCTTAATTAGTGGCCAATTTTCAACATGCTGGCCATACTGGCTTTGGTTAAAATCCTGGAAAGTTATTATGTGTGGCAGTGAACATCCAACTGGACTAGTTGCATGTGTAGGAACTAGTCCAATTGTCTATGTATTTGGAAGCATCCACCTATTTCTTTGGGTATATTTTGCATTTCTTGAAGCCTGTTCTGAATAGTGAAAACCAGCAGAACACCATTCCTAGGAAAACATGAAGAAATACATTTTTTCCTGTTAGAAATCTCTCCACAAAATAATTTCTACATTTTGATATGTCTGCATAAAAAGATGTCTTGCAGAATGCTTTGAAGCTCATAATTGTAAGGCTACAGGTGGATACTTACCATGGAGAGATGATGTGCCTTTTGAAACTACTTGTGGGAACTGTCAGTCCCCCTGAAAGAGGGAATGACAATAGAGGCAGGTCTTTTTTCTACTCAGGTACTTACAGGCGAACAATCTCTGCCCTACTTTGAAATCAAGAGGCAACCAGTGTGTAGCACTGCTGTGTAAACCTAGTCGAGATATGTTGATTATCTGAGGCAAGTTGTGTCCTTCGATAGGTTTGGTTTCCGTATGGCTTTTAAGAGGTAGTCAGACCCTGAACACGTCAGAGTAAGCTGAGATGAGCTTCAAGACTTTTTTTCCTGTCTCTTTACTAGGTAGCTCTAACAGTATAATATAGATGTGAGGTTTTCATCCAGTTGTGGACATGCACTCAGCTCTGTGGTTAGAAAGACAAAGATGTGAGTGATGTCTCATACCTCTGGGTGATTCTTCAAAAATCATTTCTCCCCACATGTGATTTCTGGTTTCATCCTGAAAGATCATCTGTGATCTTAGCCTTTAACTAGCCATACTCTCTGTGTAGGATTTTGAGCTCTTGAGACAGTAACCCAGATGATGCTTCAAAAAAGAAAGCCCCTTCACCTCCTGAAGGGACTTGCTGATGATTTTCTGGAGTGATGGATCCAGGTCTTGTCTGCTGTACTTCACCAGCAAGAAGAGGGTGAATATGAAGGAGAGATTGTGACATGAAGTGCTCCTAGTACCCTGAGCACCGTAGTGAATGTCACTGATATGGACTCAATTGGAGAAGACCTGGGATTCATCTGCTTACAGTTCATTCCAGTAGCCACTGAAGTGTGCAGCCCTAGGAGTCTCTTCTAGCCGCAGGATCTGCTTTTTCCTCACAACAGGAGGGCTTTTCATCAGATAACTGAGCGGAGACAACCCATTCTTGTTAGTAAGAATTGCCTTTATTAACTACGACATATGGAAACACCTTCTGTATAATAGCTTCCTCACCCATTAAAATAAAGAAAACATGATTATTCAGCAATCTGTTTGACTGAAAGTATGAAAAACATGAACAGAACTTTGTCTCCCTCAGGCATCAGTGAAATCACACACAGCAGAGGCATTTTCAAAGTGTCATTAGCTGTAAGGTGGTGGATTTTTTACTCTGCCTTACTAAGCTTGTACAACTCTTTTAGTCAGTGTGCTGCGGTGTCTAGCCAGTATTTTGTAAAATCTCTGTGTGTTTCTGCTTTTGACAAAAGTATTAGTATCCGTAATAGTCTGATGTGAAGTCATTTTTTCTTCTTTCCTTCTGAGGAGAGAGGTTGGTAACACGACTCGCTGTTACTCAGACAGCTGCCTGATGCCGTTATCTTTTGCATCCAATAGCCAAGGTAAGGAAGAATCCTTCGCAGCTTCAAGCTGAGGTGCTTCATCTGGACACACTGGAAATAATGCTGTGCCCCTGCCTGGCAGAGTCATTTCACAGGTCGCAATAGCTGACCCTTGGTGTGGGTAAGGCATGGAGGAGACTGTTTGCTGGAATAACTTCTGCTCCATCTTTAAACTGTTTCACATGTAGCTGCACAGAGACTTTCCCACCCCTAAAGTGCACAGAGAAACTGCATGCAATGTATCGCACCTTTGTCTTTACCTGCTGCCTGTCCATCTTACCTTTCCTGCAAGATGTTCTCATGGATACAGGATTTACCTGTGAATTTCAACCGAAAGCGTTGATGGAAGATTAGCTGAAGACATGTTCCTGCTGGGTTTGGGCATAAAGATTTAAATTTTCATAGAAATTGTGACACTCCTTACCACAATATCATGCAATTCCGTGCTTTGTGTTGAGTTAAAGATTTTTCCACTGGCTGTGAGCAAAGATGACACATCCCCATGTAAACTGTAACAGCATATCCACGGCAAATCAGAGCTCAGTACTGTTTCTATCAAGCTTCCCAAGACAGTTATTTTAAAACTAGCTAACATGTATCAGTCATCAACAATGACACTGAGTATAAGCATAAACCTCAGAAGCAAGGACAAGAAGTTTGGTACTTACTATGGATGTGAGCAAGAGAATCTAGGCAGCATCAGCACTGCATTTGCCATATGATTTATTTTACTGTTAGCTAAGTAAGAAATCTAGCTGAAAATCTGCCTCTCCTCTTACAAATATGGGGCTGGAAACCCATGCAAAATGCACGATCTTTTTCTGTCCAGAGGCCTCATATTAAAAGTAGGAAGATTGTTTTAATGTTTAAAATGTCTATGTTGCTGATTTAAACTACATAGATAATTCTTCTGTCCTGAAATATTTTCTATATTGTTTTCAGATTATTTTTAAAGGCCCCTATTTAGTGATTGAAGTTTTGGTTCTGTAGGATGGAAAAATGAGGTTTGAAATACTTGAGACTGCTTGTAATGTGTTGGTGATATGAAAACAGCATCTTTTAAACCAGTGTTTTCATTAAGGGCAAATATAGCCTTCATTTCTGCAGTCCAAGCCTTGCAGCGTGTTACGAAAAACTGGGTATTAAAACTGAAATGAAGAACAAACAAGCAGTAGAAATGGTGAAATGGAATCTGCACTTACAGAATGTGCACTTTTTATTAATCTAAAGAAAGAAAGATACTTTTTTTTTAAAAATAAATATAATTTCAACACAGGTACTTTCCTAATTATGAAGGCTTACATAAAATGGAATGGCTGCGTAGTATTTTCTGTTATAGTCACAGCATAACGTGCCACAGCCTTTCACAGAGAACAGTTACGGTCCTTCAGAAATACTACATTGCATAATACAATATAGTGGACACGGTGTCTTTGTATATGTGTACTGCTATGGTAATGGAAGTGTTAGAATCTTTGGGAAATTTCAGCAAAATTGTATTCATTTTTCATTTTCTCTTGAAGGTCCTTTATATAAACCTGTGTCTTCATAAGCCAGAGTGGGTGTCAAGAGATCTGAGTTTATATAACTGCACAGTGGAATTTTTTGGAGTAAGTCAGGACTTTTTTATTCAAATGGTGCATGTTGAGGGAGGAAGCCTAATTTTGGAATACATGGGTTTTGGATAAGAGTTTTGAGGTTGTACTATATAGTGATAAACAAATTTGCAGAATATGCTCCTGTTGCTCATAAAGATTTAACAGTTGGTATTGAAATACAGTATTGATTAAATGAAAAAGAGAAGCATTAAAGAGCTGTCTTTTTAAAATTCTGTTGTTTAGACCAAAAGTGAATTTCTCAATGGAATGGTAAAACTGGGAAGCTCAATGTTGAGTGTTTGAAGCTGTGGAGCACCCTAGAATGAAACGTAGTACTATTTGATTTGCATTAAAGTGTCTTTGTGTACAAACTTTGTGACTCATGGCCCTTATTGCAGGAAACTAAATTTCTGCATTGACACTGTCATCCTGTTTTATGGTAGGCTATTGAATAATCAAGAGACTGAAAACTGGTGAGCTGTTTAAACTGCACTAGAGTTAAAGACACAAGAAGATGAAATGGGGATGAGGAAAGACGATTAAAAAGTCAGGGAGAGAGAAACATGGGGTATTAGTTGTTGCATTGGAACACTAGAAAATGTCTTGATTGAACTGAAATCTAGGCAAAAGGACTCCCAGTCCACAAAAAATGCTAGAAGTTACAGTGCATTGCAGCCTCCAGTGCATTGGTCCATCTAAATTTTGCAGGTCAGTATTAGTGTCAAAAACTATGTTGTTAATTTGGTAGCACCTAGAACTGGTGGCTTCTATGTGAATATGGGACATAATCTGAGTCCTCACTGACATCTGAAGTGATTTCTCCAAATGAATTGGATGGTTTTGCACAGAAGGACAATCATACAAAGGGCTCTTGAACAGACTGTTACTTCACAGGTTTGTTCAAGGCAACTGTTTCCGTCTCCTAATTCCTTCATCTGTCTGAGGGAGGGCAGGTTTTATGTGGATCCCTGCTGCTTAGTCCACAGACTAACTTTTGTTTCAA